TGCTTGTCAAAGAGGAAAAACAAAACGTTACTGTGGGAGTCTTTTAATACACTTGTCTTTTGTGGGTTTCTCTCTTGCCTGCTGAAGTCATACAGCATAGAGTTCATAGATCTTCTTTACACAGTACACCAGGGCAGCGAGTGCTATCGTGTTGTGCAGTCTCTTTCTGTGCAGGTCGTCCTTCCTCACCAGCACCACGGGGGTGGACGAGGTGAGCGTATGCAGGGGCAGGCGGGAGAGTTTATAGGCATCGTACTCCACTTGGTACTTGCAGCAGGGATCAAACTGCCACGAGATCCCGTACAGGGTGCAGCAGGCCACGCTCAGCACTCCAGCGGGCAGGGAGATGTAGTGAGAATAATCTACTGGAAGTGCCAGGGGGGTGAAGAGGCAGGTGGTGCCCGCCAGCACGGCCGTCTTGTGCAGGCAGTTCCCGACGGTGATCCAGCGGGCCGTCTCGTCCCCGATGCGCGTGGGCTCTATCACGATGTACTTGTACTGCGCTTCCAGGGCCTGCTCCAGCTCGTACTCAAACTGGTCCTGAGCGTTCTCCCCGTTGTAGATCTCGTGCACAATGTAACAGTCCGTGGAGGACAAGGTGACCCTGTTAACGGGAAACTCGGCATTAAAACGACGGAGCTTAAGGACGGGATGTTCACCCACCCGGCTGGGGAGCGGCAGAGAAGTGCCCCACGTGAGGGCAGCCCCTCAAGGTCGGGCACTGCCTCTGCTCCACAACCAGCAGCTTTTTCAACTCAAGCTTCATTTCACATCAGCTCGTTACACCTGCTGTACAATAATTCAACCCAAAATAAGGCAACATATTTTTCTTACCTTTTCCTGACTTGGAGGGCATAAAGCCATTTGAGAAATAGGATCTTGTTAACAGTCCTGAAATGATTCCTCACACTGATACCCAAGCAGTTTCTCTGGAGATGGTGGAAGTGTCACTCAGACCTTAGTGACCACAACGCCCCACTGGACAAACCACACAGACTTCAGGGAGTTTTCACAGAAAACGAGACCAGCAGCTCATCCATCAAGAGGACAAACTGCACTGGAAGGTTGTGAGAGAGGAAGCATCTCTAGATGAATACGTTTGCTTTCACCCCACAATAGTTACCTCCTTGCCACTGATGAAGCTTGGTATTTAGTCTTCCATAGTAAAGCCAACCTAGTAAATCCATAGCAAATCCAACAAGGATAGCCAAGAAACATTGCTGAGAGAAGGTGAGGAAGGCAGCAGAGCACTCTGTGGCAGAACACTCCTCTCCTGACGTAGGATGCAGCAAAGCAAGAAAGGAATGGTTTTAACTCAGACAGGCTTTAGCAGTGCAGAAAGAGCTGCTGATGTTATTGGGAGTTACATTCCCTACTGACAGGGGATTCACGGGACTTGCGCTGGAGCAGCAGTTTTTAACTACCTGGAGTCACATCAGTTCAGTTTCCACCTTCCCTTCACCCTCCACCACAGCATCACAGCTGCAGCTGCGTTCATGGACAGACTGCTAAGAAACAGGATTATGACTGCTCACCTGCCCTGAGAAAGGGTAAAAACCTACCCATGAGAACACAGCAAAATCCTCCCTTCTAAGCAGAAATGACTATTTCTGACATACTTGTGCTTAACCAGAGCAAAACTGAGCACGTGGCCTCTCAAGGATAAAAATATCCAGCAGATTCCTTTAGCAGAGAGAGAACAAATCACACACACATTTGACCTAATCTCAGCAGACAAAACAGCCTCATCCCCGCAGCATTTAGACCCTCCTGATAGCAGGAGGAAAACACTGCTGATGTGGAGAATGGAAGGAGCACTTTTTGCTCCATTAGTGCAGTGGTACTTATGTGCATGCACTGGAAAATAAGGGAGAAAAATACACATTCACAAGCTGCTGTTGCCAAACATTATCCTTAATGCGCAGCTCCACTCATGCTGCAAAGGGGATTGAGCAGTGGCCAGCTGTAATCAAGAATATTGTTAAATTACAAGCTGTTGCCAGAAGTAGCTGCATTTGTAACAGCAGCAAACATCAACCAGCAGGACCCCTGAGAGGCACCACCCTCTCCCAAAGCAGAGTAATAAGCAATTTCATTAAAAGTCTGGCTGGAATTTATATAACCCACAATGAAAACTCAACTTACAAGGCAGTTATTGAGTTCTCTGCAGTGCATTTCCCCCTTGGCCTGTTCATGGGTAGAAAGAAAAATAAAAATCCACCTGAATTCCGTGTATGCCAGGGGCTTCTTTAGGGCCATCAGCTTGTTTGGGAAATTACCATTAACTCTTTCAGCACAGGATGTGGTGGGCTCTGATGTTCTGTGGTGAATTGGAAGGTATTTAAAGAACAAAAAAAAAATTTAAGGACAGCACCTGTATCAGGAGTTTCTAGCAAAGAACCAGTTAGGCAGGTGTTACATTAAGGACACCACTGGTCACGGCTGCTGCCAAGGATTCTTTTTCTTGGATGTTCCAAGTGCAGCTTCTTCCAAATGAAAAACTCCAGTTCCATTACAAAAGACATGCTGAGACTTAAGGTAACTCAGCACACCCAGACTCTGTGAAACCACCTGCCAGGGCACAATGACTTCATGGAAAAGCTGTTGCTGAAAGGCATTTTCAAGCTGGAAGCCAACCCAGCGCTAACACAACCCTCCAGATAAAATTAGTTATTTCCTACCAAGGAGCACTTTCAGTGTGTTGTAATGCTTAGGAATATGCAGATGGGTCTGCAAAATAGAGAAACAGAATCCAAATTCAACTAACAGCTCAGGGACCTTTGTCAGTCCGGGATCTCCCACGAGCCCGTTCCTTCTCTGCCTGTACAGGAGCCATGGGAACTGGGCTTCTAACTCCAGGAATCCAGTAACTACATTACATGGGATTTTTCCAGGCCCAGCACCAGGACAGGTGGCATTAACCCATCAGCCTCACTTCTCCTTGCCTGTCCTTCCCTCTGAACACCCCTTTTTCCTTTCACCATCACTGCACAAGCAGAGCCATACCACAGACACCTGTCAGAGGACAGGAATCCAACAGGCTGGCCAGAGGCAGCACTGTCCATCTCCTCTGGAATCTTTTGGCTTGCCAGGCTCTGGGGCTTTATAACAATAAAGTCAAGGAAAGCACAATCCTCCTACGCCAAAACAAGCAGAATTTAAAGTATGTTCTGTTGGAAAAGAAATACCACTGGGAACTAAGCTGCACAAAGGCTTCATCCCTGAGAAAGTCTGCCCCCCTGACTGTGCTGTTTCTTCAAATGAGTCCTCTAAAAAATCAGAATAAATCTGTATCACGGTGCTGAAGCTGCACATGGCAAAACAGACAATCCAAAACCGACGACAAAGAAAGAAAAATGAACTGCTCCAACGAGAGCACACGTGAAGAGGCAGCAAGGCAAGCAGCAAGTCTCCACTTCTGTGCAGAGAAGTGGGGTTACCACCTATGATTTCCACAGAAGAACTGGCTGCCCCCAGAGCAAGAAAAGTGAAAACTGGTTTGATTGCAGATGATGTAGAAATAGACACAGATGAGGTATGTGGGCTTGAGAAGGTTTCAGCTGAGTGGGAGCGAGGGCCTCGATGCACAGAGTGAACCTCTCCTGACACAGCCTTTCAACTGAACACGGCAGCTGCAAACCAACAAATCCACCCAAAGCAACTGGATTTGCTCAAACACTGCAGGCCACGGAATTTGCCTTTTGGAGCTTGTCACCCACCCCCTGGCCATGACAAACACAAATGCAGAGCTGTGCAAGCAACTCTGAGCTGGCACCAAGTCATCAAGTGTGGGGATTTTGTATAAACTCTGTTTTACTGAAAAGAATAGTAAACAACCAGAGAGCACCTACTTCCAGAAGACATAAAACGCTGCCAGGTGTTCAGAAGCCTGTCAGGCTGTTTACTAGACAGACCAGAACCTAAAAGCAGTTGTTAATATTACTCCATCAAATGATTTTCCAGGAGCTGTCTCCCCACCCCAAAAAAGAGGGCTAAGTTAACGAGTTGTCCAGTTGTTCTGTAAGAAGAGTTCTGGACCTTATATCCAAATATGTGTTCTATTGCAGCTTCAGGCTTTGTATACTTGAGAAATTTGAGTGTCTCATTCCTGCTGCAGAATGAATGCCTGGGTGGGGGAATGTGACAGAACTCTGAACAATTTGGCACAGCGAGATGTAAAGCACTTAAAAATCACCGATGTCAAATTTTGGTACTGCCAAAGTCATAAATAAGGAATCCATTGTTAACAGAGCTGCAGCAGCAGGAGGGGCAGAAGTGTCTGTGTTAGCTATAGGGCAAGGTTCAAATTACATTTGGATTGTCTTCCTAACATGGGAATATCGGAGAGCACCAGGAGAGGGGTGCTGCAGCTGCTGAACAATAGCAGCTCCAGCAGCTCCCAGAACCACCGAATCATGGAATGGGTTGGGTTGGAAGGGAACTTAAAAGACCTTCCAGTGCTACCCCCTGCCATGGGCAGGGACACCTTCCACTAGCCCAGGTTGATCCAAGCCCTGTCCAGCCTGGCCTTGGACACTTCCAGGGATGGGGCAGCCACAGCTTCTCTGGGCAACCTGTGCCAGGGCCTCCCCACCCTCATGGGGAAGGATTTTTTCCCAAATTCCAGCTCCATTTCCCTACTTCCAGCTTGGAAGCAGGCTCCTGAAAACATTAACTTGCCTGGTAAATGGAAGTTTCAATTGGATAGCCTCTTTTCTGTGGATAAAGAAATCAATAACATTCCAAGGAGGAGGCACAATGCCACTCCATGTGAAGAGAGCTCAGTTTTGCCGGGTGCCACGTGGAAATGGGAGAAACAAAGGAACAGAGTGCTGAGAACAGGGCAGGTAAAAACATCCTGGGAGAACCCTCAGCCTCCTCCTGCTGCTGCTCACCTGCCTGAGCCTCCCAGGTTGGTTGCCCTCAGCCTAATGGCATTCCTCAATCTGCCAGACAGAGTTTTGGGGAGGGTTTCAAGTCATCCAACCATCTCAGTTCTGCAAAATGCTCAGAATCACACTTAGAAACAATCTCAAGGTGCACAAAGCACAGGTACAGTTCTGGGCAAAAGAAAGCTCCTTTTAAACCCCTCCCATAACATGTAGGTCGAGTTTTATTCAATTTTTTTTGTTGTTGTTGTTTAAAGGAGAATATTCCTGGGCAACAGTGTTGCTCAGAGCACCAAACAGGCAATCAGATTAACTGCAAATGAAGACCAGTTTGATTAGTAGTTAAGAAAGTAAGAAAGGAAAGGCTTGCAGCAGAGTGATAAGATGTATCACCAACAGCACAGAGTCTAATTCAGCGGTGCAAGAGGGGCTTTGTGCTGGCTCTGCAAGTGATCTGCAAAAAAAAGACATTCTAGATGGCCAGAGTAGGTCTGTGGGCATTGTCAGCCTCTCAGCCAAGCTGGAGCAAGTCAACAGTCAAGGCATGACAAACTGAAACACTAAACTTCCCTCCCTCCCTCCGACATAAATCCCTCTTGAAATTTAATTTAATTTCAAGATTAAGGAATGAGCTGTGGACTGGCTTTAATTCTCAGTGGAAATATTCCACCTCCAAGTCATATTCACCAGCGTGCTCCTACTCAGGATATGGTGTGTGAGAAGCACTAACACGTCCCAGCTCAAACACCTGGGGAATTGTTTCTCTGCTGGGTGACCCCACAATCTACCAGGCCTGGGGCCTTTGGAAGGGCATTAAAGCAGAGGAAGAACAGGAAAAGCTTAGCAATAAAGCAAGACCTTAGTTCAGAAGATGCACCTTAAATACAAATAGGAAAAATGACAGGAGAACATTGGGGAGATCTTCAAGCAGCCTCACCAAGGGACCAGAACATTCCCTGAACGCTCAGGAAAACATCACCAAACCACAACAACAAACTCCAGCCCCTGGACAACATGAAGGTGTCAATTTTAAGCCAACTAATGATTAGCCAGGCTGATGGAAATAGGTCAATCATTGCTGCAAGCAGAGTACCAGAAATCTGAGCAGTGCAGGTAGTGAGAGAGCTCAGTAAGGGCACAGAGGAGCCAGTGCAGGCAGCGGTGATGACACGAAAGCTGTTCTTTCCAGAGTTTGTCAGAACATCTCCCAGGGGAACAAACGACACGCTGTCCACTGCCTTTTATACAAAAACACCCAGTACAATCCAGTGTCTGTTCTGTATGAAAAAGTTGTTTTGGTCTACAGATCAACAATTCCCTTTAGACGGTCTCCATTAAAGAGTCTATCCAGAATGAAGGAAAACAAATATTTAGTTGGTTCCCTTCAGTGTTTTGGGGATTTTTTTGTTGAATGTTATTATTTCACCACCAGAGCCAGCTGGAGTTCACAGCCAAACATCCTTTGAAATTAATGTCCTTACATTCACTCTTAGCAAGGCAAGCGCTTTTTGACCAATTACAGACTTAAAAAAAAAAAAAATTTATGAAGGGATTCAGTCTCTACAGAGAGTTGCTGGTCTTTTTTTTTTTATATATATATATATTTTTAAATGAAAGCTGCTCCAGTCTCACAGCAGACAGGATTTTATTCAGAACTGAGTCTCCTCACACCACCTCCGACACACAGATGCCTTTTAGACCGTCTGGCTGACAACTACAAACACTCCTTGCAGCAGCTCAGTTACGAGGAAAACTGGATCAGCATATTCAGTTCAAAGGAATGTGTCTCTGGACAAGAATCCTGCCCAGAGTAAGAAAACTCTGTTCACCCTATAAAAAGCACATTTCATCACGAGATGACATCAGGTCTGTCAGCGCTGCCCCTACACAACCTGCGCTGCAGCACCGAACGAGACAGGCAGGTGTGGTTTAGGATCAGCCTCTGATGGAGAGGCAGAGGCCCAGTCATGTGCATCTCCTGCTCTGCAGCTGCCAGGAAGAAGCAGCACCTCGCTGTCATCACCCCAAACCTACTGGAATTATCATCCTCCGTCACGATTGCACAGGGTGGCACCTAAAGAACCACCATCTCTTTCGATGGAGGTTGGGAAACGCTGCTCAGGGGTGGATCTGTTCTGCTCCATCTCCTCCTCACTGGCAAAGGAAAAATAATATAGGCAGCAGGTTCATGGAGTGACTCGTGTTTATGAGTATTTTTCATCGCAAGATCAAGAGCAATCACAGCTTTGAACACAAATCACCTCAAACAACAATTATTGTACAGTTCACAGATGAAGTTACACGGCAAGAACTCACTTTTAAGTCTGCGCCAGTTTTCACCCTGGAAGAATAATTTTTATTGAAGTTATTAAGTGCTCTTTTTCATACCTTTTTTTTTTTGTTTGTTTGTTTTTTATCCCTTCTCTTCTGCTGGGAGGACAGGTCTGTGCCACATGAAACACCCTCATGAAAACTCCACACCTCCTGTGCTGGGGCAGTGCCAGCACTGGGTGCAGACAGCTTTACCCCTGAGGTATTCTTAGCTGTTTATATGAACCACACTGATGCAGAAATTCCATTGGCTCTTCCAGTTCAATTACTTTTGAATTCCCTGAACACAGGCGGCATTCCTGCAATTCACATCAGCGCCAGAATTTTGAGGGCTACTTGTGGCTCTCCCTTGGCTCTGTAGATTCAACACCATCAAAGCAAACAGTGAGGAATTACAGCAAGGGAACAGGGTGAAGGGAAAGCCACAACAAAAATTAAGAGGGATATCACAGTTTCTAATTAAGAGGGATATCAGAGTTTCGAGGTGAGGCAGCAGGACAAAAGAAAACTCACAACACACTGCAGCAGCTTTCAGCAGCTGCCGGTTACATCAGTCAGCCCTGGGGCAGGACAGAAAAAATGCCAACGTCAGGAAATGCGGGATAAACCCAGACATTTTCAGCAGGTGGGGAACTGTGCACACAGGTTTTTAAAGTAGCTCAACGAGACACCGTCTCAAGCTGTGCCAGGGGAGGTTTAGGTCGGACATCAGGAAGAATTTCTTCACAGAGAGGGCGATTGGAAGGGGCTGCCCAGGGAATGGGAGTCACCGTCCCTGGAGGTGCTTAAGGAAAGACTGGGTGAGGCACTCAGTGCTCTGGTCTGGCTGACAAGGTGGTGTTCGGTCACAGGTTGGGCTCGACGATCTCAGACGTCTTTTCCACCCTAACTGATTTCTGTGACATTTCTTTCTGTCTCTTGTCTTCCCATTTTAAAGTTAACGATCCCCAAACTTCCACCCCTGCTCCGCGGGCAGTCCCAGCCCGCCCTGGCGGCTCCCCCGCCCCGGCGGCAGCAGCAGCAGGCCCGGTACCGAGCCCCGCGCCCGCCGGGCCCCGGCAGAAGGAGGTCACCCTGGAGGACTCGCCGCTCCCTCCCCGCCTTTAAAAATAGCCGTGGACGGAAGGAGCCTCCCGGGGCCGGCCCTCCTCCTCCCGGCCCCCGAGGCCGCATCCCGCCGCGGGCAGCGCCGCCGCCTTCACCTTCGCCCCTCGGGCCGCGCTGACCTTCCCCGCCCGCCGCCGCCCCTGCGGGCACCCCCGGCCCCTCCGCGCCCCGCGCCCGCCCCGCCCGGCCGCGCTCCCCTCGCGGCGCCCCCACCCTCGCCGCGGGGCTGGGGGAGCCTCGTGCAGCGCGGCCCCGCTCCCCCCGCCGCCCCCCGGCCCGTTCCCCCGCCGCGCCCTCACCTGTCCCGGCCGCCGCCGCTGTTGGTGCCGCCGGGGCCGCCGCGCCTCCTTCCCCACGCCGCCATCTTGGAGACACTCGGCTCGCAAATGTCTCCGCCGGCGGCCCGCGGCCGGGCCGCGCTGCCCGATGGGAGATGTAGTGCGCGAGGGCGGCGGCGGCCGCCGCGCGGGGCGGGGTCAGGGCGGCAGCGGGACTACAAGTCCCACAGTGCTTCGCGCCACCTCACGGCCGCGGGGGGCTCTGGGGCGTGTAGTCCTGGGGTGGGAGCGGGGGCGGCGAGGCTGGGCGGGCGCGGCGGCGGGACCCCTGTGGGACCCCCGGGCACAGCCCCGGGCACCGGCGGAGGGGCGGCCCCGCGGGGGGCTCGGCTCGGCTCCACCGCCCGGGATCTGCCGCCGGAGCGGGCCGGCCGTGGGAGGAGCACGCGGCGAATCCCGGCCTGCCCCGCGGCCCCGCCATGAGGTGGGGTGAACGTGCCGGGCCGCGGCGGAGGGTGGGCAATGCTCATCGGCCTCGGCATCGCCTCGCGTTGCTGCTCCGAAAGGAGGTTCCCTCCTTGCAGGGGAGAAGGGATGCAGGATCCCCTCGAGCAGCGCCTCGCAGAGAGGAGAGGAGAGGATGGGCGTTTTGGGGTGAATTCGACCCCTTTAGTCGATCCCAAAAGAGGAGCGGGGAGGCTCCCCTGCTGCATCTCTGAGAAGGAATAAATCACAGCACAGGATCGCTTAGGTTGGAAAAGACCTCTGGCATCATCGAATCAATATAAAGTTTATCACGAAATGCTTCTCTAGAAACGAAATGCAGGTAGGGCCAGAGGTCTCCCAGCTCCTGTGGATCCAGCAGAAGTGGATGCTGAAGGTTTTGTAGGGGTGTCCCAAGACCACCCTGTCCTCAGCCTCTGGTCCCAAGGCCACCCCTGGAACAGCAGGGTCATCCAAAGGTGCTTGGATAGTGATCTCCAGGATCCTTGTGCCTCTGCAGGGCCCCCTCTTGCTCCCAGTCTGATTCCTCCCAGGAGAGGAGCCTTTTTCTCAGGAATTTTAAGTTTTCCCTTAACAAACTGCTCTGCAGGTCCCTGCTCTTTGGGACAGATCTGTCCTCAGATCCTACCACCCCTCAGGAGAGAGTGCTGCTGGCTCTGCATCTCCCAGACCTAGAAAAGCCCCTCTTTTTGACAGCGTTATTCCCAAGTGATGCGATGTGACAAGAGAACAAACCCCCTGCCTGCCTCCACCTTCCCAGCGATCCCGAGGCTGCTCTTCCAGCCTGCAGGGCCCTCCCACGCCGCTGCAGTTCAGCTCTGATTTGGGGGACAGCTGTTTTACTGGAGGTAAAGGGCGCATTTGCAGGAACAAGAGGTGTTTGGGAAGCGTGCCCAGCCCGGCAGAACGTGCAGCACTGCTGGGACAGGCCGGAGCATGGACTGTCTGGAATGTGGAATGTAAACAGAGTGTGTTACCAGCAACAGCCCGGCTACAGCCCCAACCCTCCTGCGCTGTCCCCGGGGAGCAGCAAACCCTGCTCTGCCTGCCTGAGCTGCAGCCCCGGGGCCACTTGTCACTTCGGATCAAATTATAACTGTAAATAAGCTGGGCCCCTTCTCCACACCACCCTCCCTGGCACACTGATTCACCCAAACTCCAGCCTCTGAAGCAGGATAACTCCCAAAGGGGTGGCCTGAAATTCCAAGGAGGGCTGAGGAGAGTGAGCTGGCAGAGGGAACAGACTCAGCTGACAGGATCCAGCCCAGAGGTGACAGTGCCCAATGCCCCCTGGTTCCATGGGCACCTCCTCCCGCTCCCCCCAGCACGGCACAGCCACTGGGGGTCAAGTTAAGCCACACTTTTATTGTACTGTATTCCATGCATTATGTTCATGTCTTATAGTACGACAGAGGGAGGGCTAAAGATAAAATGTTAAACATAAACAAGAGCAGAAAGGTCATTTGTAACAGGTCCTGAGAAGGAAAGGCACATCGTAACCACCGAATCCAACAGAACGGAAACCTGGGACAGAGGAAGACAACGCTGGAGAGCGGACGAGGGAGGGGGGAGTTTCAAGTCGGGTGCTGTGGAATTGCAGGCTTGACAGCAACCTGCATTCCCCCACCCACCAAGGTCTGCAGTTCAAATGGGTTTGGGGACCTCGATATACAGCCAAACCACTTTCCACGCTCCTGTTGCCAGGGGAGAGTTCAAAATTCCCCAACTCCCTCCAGGCTTAGTGAGCACCAAGGGGCAGCAGAGGGACTCAAAGCTCCTTTCTGCAGAGACCAGCTGGGGAAAAGGGGCAGCTGGTGGGGAGGCAGGGAAGGGCTGCCCAGCACTGAGGGATCCCGAGCCATCTCCTGCCTGGCAGTGCAGGATCCCAGGAGCACCATGGACCGCGGCATCGCTGGTGACCTGTGGATATTGCTATTCACCGGCATCAGGGGCCACAGGGGAGGGAAGGCAGAGGATGGATACAGCAGTGTTGGCACGGGCACTGGCACACGGCTCCGTCGGGTCAGACACTGGAGGGGTCGTAGCACCTCGAAGGGAAAGCAGCAGCAAAACCATGTGTGCTGTGCCTGGTTTAAGGCAGCGATTGCCACTTGTGATCCAGCGCTGGGAAGCACGAGGTTCCTGCCAGAGCAGCACGAAGGGCTCCAGAGCCGGGCTTGGACGCCAGGCCACTGCTGGTGCAGCGGCCACAGCACAGCCTGCAGTGAGCTGACACAACGGGGAACTTCTGGGAACTGCCACACAGTGGAAATGAGCACAAAACCAGGGCAGAGGCTTGCAGAGGCTCACGTGAGGCATCCAGCCCTGCCGTGACAGACACAACAGTGTCTTATCTTGGCTTGCAGGGGAGGAGACGGTTCAGCTTCACCTTGGGATCAGGAGCAGGGACGGTTCTGTCGTCACGGCTGTACCAGAACCAGCCTTGCTCCTGTAACTACACGTTGAAGTGTGTTTTGCATGTTAAAGAAGAAACATTTAGCAGCCCAGATGTCTTCCTGAGCCCCTTTAGTTTGTTACCTGCAACCCTTTCCCAGTCCCTCGAAGCCATCCTGAAGGTCACAGCCCAGGTGGAATAAGCAGCAAGAGGGCAGAAACACGAGGCAGCAGTAGGGCTGAGCCCAAGGCCTTTCCTGAGCAGCACAAGGCAGAGGTGGCTCTGCTGCCGGGCACAGCTCCCTCCCCAGGCAGGAGGTGGGCGTGGGCATAGCTCTCACAGCCCTGTGCACGGCAGGGATGGAGTTTGGGAGTTTTAACTCCAGCCTGAGAGGGCCGTGTTACGCTGGTGATGAGCAGCACAGGCAGGCAGCAGGGCTTCGCCTCGAGCTGGTGACCAGGAGGAACAGCTCAAGGCCTCCCTGGCTGAGATCAGCCACAGGATCTCCATCTCTGACCATCCCAATCAGTAGAGGAGGCTGGAGGAGTTTTGCCTTTGCCACCACAGACTTTTTGTGCTCAGCTTTGGGAGAGGCCTGAGCTGCCTCTCGGTAGGGGCTTCGATCACTCCGTGGCACAGATTGTAAACTTTAGTCCCTGCTGAGCTAAGCTAGGTCTGGATTTGGCCTCCAGGTGAAAGGCTCTCCATTTCCTTCTGCCTGGCTTCAGCCCCCAGTGGCTGCTCAGGGCTGGGGATGTCAGAAGCATCGTCTCCCACACCACAGCCCTGCCCTGGGACACTGCAAAATCCCGAGAGCTCGGTGGGAGGTGCTCTGGGGTGCAGCTCATGCTCTGTAAAACCCAGACAAGGCAGGACAGGCAGCAAGATGGAACCAGGCAGTGCCCTGCCATCATGGTGATACCTCTGCATCCAACCGTGGCAACGCTGGGCTGTACTGCAGGGTCCTTATCCATGGAGGGAACAGCACGAAGTGAGGGTGTTCCTCTGCTAGCTGAGGACCCCACAATGCTGCCAGCACCTGAGCCTGGAGCTGAGCAGAGAGGTAATGCCCTGAGCCAGGGCTTCTTTCCAAAGGCTGTAAGGAGAAGCCATCAGCATCCACATGGAGGCAGGTGGCTCCAGGAGATGAGCCAGGAGCAGGTCCTGGAGGCCTTACCCCTGTTGCTCTCAGGATGGGATGATGGCTCCGAGCTGGGGCTCAGAAGGGGATGCAGAGCTGGAGTTGAAGGAGATGGGGGGAGCCTTCCTCTTCACCTGCAGGAAACCACCCTGGTGCCCTGGGATGTCCCCTCAGGGCTGGCTGTGGGGGCTGGCCTCTTGTCCTGAGCAGGCTGTGTCTACACCAGCACGGGCAGCACCGATGGCCAGGAGCAGAGACAGGAATGACAGCCCGTGATCCTGTGGGATGCCGTGGCGGGGTTGTGAACAGAAGGCTGGGCAGGAGCTGCAGCCCAGCCACCTCTCCTCGTCTGCACAGGCTGCCACAGCCCCTGCAGCTGAAGTCTGCTCCTCACAAGGCTCCTGCCCCTTGCCTTGGAGGTGTCACCATCCCAGTGTCTCCACAGCTGGCGCAGCAAAGCCCCCGAGGTGCCACCACGGTCCGTGTGTTCTCATCCGTACTCCACGTGGGCTTGGACACAGCTCAGCGGAGGCTGGAGGGGATGAACCTGCCTCAGGGCTGGGGCTCCTCCAGCACCTCCCTCTGCTCCACAAAGCTTAATCCCCCAGCTGCCAGAAGGAAAGGGGGGGCCGGTGCCCCACGACCACCCCTAACCAACATCCCCCAGCAAGTTCACAGTTGTCGCCAAGCGGAGCGGGGAGGACGAGGTGCAGCACAAGTCATCCCCTGCTCCGGTGATGGAGTTTGGTGGAAAAAATCATCCTCTTCCTTCCCCTGGCTTGGGAGAAGCACTGGGGGACGCCACGTGTGCCCAGAGCCAGCCTAGCCCAGGGGCTGTAGCCATGCTCACACGTGGGCGGGGCGGAGGAGGTCGTGCCCACACTCACGCACCACATGGACACGCTTAAAAAAAAAAACACGGGAATTGCGAGTGTGGGAGGGGGTTTCCTGAGACCGCAGAGAAGCGAAGGCCGCGTTGGACAGTCAGGGACAGGTGTGCTGGTGTCGGAGCAGTCCTGCCTTAAGGCTGCAAGTGTTCCAGGTACTGCGGCAGCGGGTTCTCCTTGACGTATTTCTGAATGTACCAGCACGTCAGGTGAGCTTTCAGGTCCTCCTCCACCACGAAGTCCAGGGCTGCCTGTGACCAACCAGAGAGAACACACAGGTTATACAACCAGCACCCTCAGCCTACGCTCTCCTCTGCAACCTCATGGGGGTCTGGACTCCTGTAGCTCTCACACAGACGGGGGAAGCAGCAGGTTGCCCTCAGGTACCCCCTGTGCGAGGCAGGTGGAGGGAGAGGGTTGTGGAGAGAGCACAGCACAGGGTTCTCAGTTTAACCCTCAACACATCCAGCCTGGTGGATGCTGCACGGCAGGTGACCTAGCCCATCATGCCACCCATCTGCCCTGACCTACAGGGCCAGGGAGCAGCTGTAACCCCAAAGCATCACCCCACAGTCCCTCGTGGCTCCTCAGCTATCCCTGCACGGCTGCAGGGCCCAAGGCAGGCAGAGGGCTCACAAGGGCAGGGAAGGTTTGAGAGGAGGGGTCCAGCCCCCAGGTGAGGTGATCCATCAGCCCCTGCACAGTGGGCACAAGGAGGAACGGGCCAAGCACTCACCCAGCCCCTCTTGCCACCAAACCAGGAATTTCCCTGTGTCCCATCTCCCATCGGAGCAGGGCTCCCACAGGGCACACAAAAAATTCCAACGGGACGGGGCCTGGCTTCAGCCAGGATCTCTACCCACAGCTGGGATGGCAACAGCTCTTGCCCTTCTAGGTGTTTGGGGCTGTACCTTGGCCAGGTGCTTGGCTATTCCTCTCCCTCGATAGGCATCCGGCACTTCCGTGTGCTGCAGGTCCACGATCCGCTTCCCCACGTACTCGTAGAGCAGCACTGCCTTGTCATGGCAACCTGGGGGGTGTGAGAGAGGGGTGAGGACGGGGAGGTCTCCTGGCAGCCCACAGCAGGGGATGGGCAGCTCTGGGATTGCTCCACCAGCCCTCGTGCCCATGGGAATGGCTGTGCTGGGCGGGAGACTTTGCTTTCAGTGACACCTGGATGTGCCCTCCTTGGTCCCCCAGAGGTGTGAGCAGAGCCAGGTCTGCTCAGCCTTTCCAAGCCCCTGGAGCAGGGGCAAGTTTTCTACCCATCCCTGAATCGCTGATGCCAACACAACATGTTTAGGGTAGGAAAGCAGCTGTGGGGAGGGGTGGGATGTGTTGATGTGAGGGAGAGAGCAAAAAACAGGAGAGGGAAAAAGAATTCCTTTCTCCTCCAGCACAGAGTTTTTTGTTGTGGCACATAAAAAAGGACAAGACTCCTTGGTCTGGTGTTGCAGCATGGCCTAGACACGTTTTGGGGAAGGTGGTGGAGAGATGAATCCCACAAACACACAGGAAAGTGCACACAGGTGTGCAAGGGCGTTTGTGCACACAAATTTACATGTACACACACAGGTGTCCTGTGTCAACACCCTGACCTTTCTCACAGCAGCTCAGTTACAGGAAAGAAGAAGTTTCAGCACACGTGTGAATCAGAGGAGAGCTCATAACACCTCTCTGGCTTCATCTGCACAACCTGAGCTTCTGCCTTTGATGCAAAACCAAACACTTCATTTCTAGACGGTTTGTGTATTTAAGTGAGTTTCAGAAACACAATTCCCCAGTCAAAGAGACAAGCTCAATTAAAATAGCGGAAACTTTCCCTCCAATGGCTTTTGGAAGCTGCAGGCCTACAGTGTCCACTTCCATTCACTGTTTGCTTTAGCTGAGCTCAGTACACTCCGTGTCACTGCATTTCAGCTGACAACTCCAGCCCAGTTCGCCTCATCCCTGCATTCAAGATGCACTAGAAACGAGCCCACTGGAATTTTGTGTTTCAAGAGAAGCAGCTCAAGGTTTTGTTCCTGCTCCTTTTATGCAGACACTCAATTCTCTGACATCGCATGGAAACCTTCACGCTTCCAGCCCGAGTTTATTCCTGCTGGTTTCTACCCGCTTGTTCTCGTGCCAACATTGTTCTTGGGTGGACATAAATAATTTCCCTCCCTGCCGTTCCCCCAAGTATTTATAGGCATCAGTCCTGCCCCTCTCAGCCTCCAGTTCACCAAAAAGCCAAGCTCTTTTAGTCTCCCCAAAGAGAAAAAAAGGGAGAAGAGCAGCGTTTCTCCATGTGGATCCAGACACCCCAAAAAAAAGCCATGGGAGCATCACAGACCTGTCTCACTCAAGAGGAACCCAGCCAGGTCGGGGCACAAGCAAAGCAGGTGCCCTCACCCTCACAGCATATTTGGTGGCAGCTCTCCCAGGGGTGACAAGGGCAGAGCTGGCAGCACCAGAGGCTGTAAAATGATCTTATAACGGCGGCTTTCACACGCTCCAGCCCTTCCACCCCCATTCTCCCCCCAGGCCAAAACTTTCCACAGCCTCTGCCTGAAGCTTTGAGAAGTTTAAAACTAAATTGGTGACAGAGCAAAAGGTCTTTTTTTTTTTTTTTTTTTTTCCTAAACCATACTTTTTCCTGTATGATCTGCTCAGAAGCATCACATCACACACACAAATGCATTTTAAAGCAGAAGGTGATGCAGTGTTTAGAGCATCTCAGATCTGCCCTGGACAGGCTTTCCCTTGATATTCCCTGTACCACAGCAGCACCACAAACCCCCAGCCAGACGAACACACACACAGAGCCCAAAACATTTTACAACCAGCTCTGCACAGAAAGCCAGTGCTGTCAGTGCTCCAGGACACCAGTCCCACTTCAGAGAAACATCCCAGTTCAGCCAAGTACATAAGCACATCTGTACGTGCTCACCTCAGGGATGGGACCCTGAGCCACACGGTGCCTGAAACCCGGGACACTCGTGCCACGGGGTTTGGTGTGGACCCTGCAGGTGACAGCGATGGCTTGGAAGAAGCCAGTTCCTGCTGCTCCCAGGAAAGCTGGGGGAGATGGAAGCAGTGCTGACCCTTCCTGGGAGCACCCAGCTGCATTCCCCCTGGAAGGCAGGGCACAGAAGCAGAAACCCCACCAAACTGTGGCAGAAGAGACGCCGCGTGCCGGCCTCCTGCCTGCCTCATCCCCACGGACTTTGGGACAGATGGGGGTTTGATCAGCCTGCACAGGCAGAGCTTGGCAAAGCAGGCTCAGGTCTCAGCCAGCCCCAGAGGTGCCCCTGAGCCTGACCGTGGTGCCTGAGAGGCTGACACTCCCCTGCGAGGCCACGGCAAGGAAGTTGAGTCAATGCAAATCAGCACAGGGAGGAGGCTGCAGCAATGGCAGCACAGCTGGTGCCCTGCTCTCCCCAGTCCCTCCCTCAAATCACAGGGTGCACAGGGAAGGGGGAGCTTTCCCAGGAGCTGGGTGAGACACCAGGTCTAGACTTGCTCTCCATGGAGGGTTTCCACCAGGAGCAGTGGCACGGAGCTCCCATCCAGGCAGGCGCAGCAGAGGCCCCTGTGCCACAGGCTCAGCTGTGACACCAGACATGAGTCCCCAGGCTGGCTCATGAGCCTGGGGGCAACAAGCAGAGAGCCCAGCCCCAACCTGAGCTGAGCAAGGGCCACGCCAGGCATCTGGGAAGATAAAAGCACCCTTTTCAAGCCCATCTTTCACTGCCCCCCTCTCCTGGCATGCACAAAGTATCTGGCTGGTGAGGGGATGCTCCAGCACAGCAAGACCCGTCCCTCCAGCCCTTTTCCCTTCTCCCTGTCCCTCTGTGCTGGCCCCAGCCCACCATACACCTTTGTGTGCCCAGGACTGGAGCAGGGCAGGGGCCTGGCCTTCTGTGCTCCAGCCTTTGGAGCAGCCCCTGCGTTCCAGCCTCCTTAGGACCCTGCTGCAAAACCATTCCCCGAGAGCAAGGGGAGGGAAGAACACACGCCAGCCCCATTTCCCACTCTCAGACACAGGAAAAGCCAGAGGCAGGAGGCAGCTCAGCTCATCTGCTGCTGAGCCAAAAAAGAGGGGGGAAAAAAAAAAAAAAAAAAAAAAAAGAAAGCAGAAGCTGTGTGTGGGGTGAGCTGAGAGGACAAGACGTCCCGAGGAGCTCGTGCATCCCAGGCTGCAGCCACGGGCTGGTCTTGCTCCCCAGGGAGCTACTGGCACGTTACTACGGAGAGAAAACACAACAGAGGACAACAGCCAGAGCAGAGACGGCACAGACCTCTCACAGGGGCCTCACTCGCAGGAATGGCAGCAGGGGGGGCTCTGCTTTGGAGCAGTTTCCTGTTTAGGAGCTGCCTGGAGGTGACTGTGGCACGGGAGTAAGTGGGGACCTCTTTGAGGCAGGGTCTGGTGACAGACCCCTCGGTCCCCACTGCAAACTCGGCACCTTTTCCCTCCTGGAAAGCATCTACCCCAGCAGGGAGGAAAGCTCCAAGTTTTCCCAATAAACCTGAGCCCGGATTCCTGGACAGGGAGCTCCCGAGACTCAGATCAGCAGGGGCCAAAGCGGGAGCTTCCAGCCACTGGATCCTGCCCAACACCCAGCTGGGGAAGAGTGGGAGGTTTGGGAAGCATAGTGTGCTGCATCCAGGTGTTGGATGAATGGGAGTCTGAGTGTGTGAGAAGCTCACACATCCCCAGGGAACTGGAGCCACTCTGCACGTGGGGTGAGCCTGTCTCCCAACTGGAGAGCCTGATGGGTTTGATGGGCATCAAGAAGTCACAGGGGTTGCTGCTAAAAGCAGTTCCCCTGCCCCAAACATCTGTGCCAGCAGCTGGACTGACCATCCGACTACTTTGGGGTGGGGAGGGATCTCTTCGGGTTTCTTGTTTTGACCAGAAGTTTCATCTTGTACCCCAAAACCCCCCAACTACTCCTGAACAAAACAGCGTATGTGATTCCCATGGAAGCTTTTAGCTTTGACAAATTGATGTTTTCCAACAGAGTCGCTGCACGGGGAGGTTTCTGGCTGGCTCGTGCTGTTAGTCACATCCTAAGTGATTACAAATCCAGTTGGGCGTCTTTCTGCCCTCCTCTCGAGGGATAAAGCTCGGTGAGGTCTGCTTATAATCAGCTTTACTTTCAGCTTCTAAATGCTCCTGCATTTGGGATTCAAGGGAAAAGGGAATGTGTTCCAGTGAAGCAGCCTTTCCCATCAGAATTTCAGGAGCCACTGAGGGGAGAGGGGGGAGCAATGAGCAGAGAAGGGAAAGACGAGGCAACCCCAAAAACACCAAATGCAATTCATCCTCGTGTACAGGGAGGAAGTCCTGACATGAGGTTACACGGGGGCAGAGAGGCAAACACAGGATGATGCTGAAAACAAGCACTTTCACAACCAGTTCCCAGCTTTCACTGTCTCAGGCCTGCTACAGGGATTTCCCAAAAGACACCACCTGGAAAGTTTTCTACTCAACACCACACCACCCTAATCCACACAGCCCAGAGACCAGCTCTCAAAGCCTGGCTCCTTGCTCCCCAAGCCTGCTGCACCCATGTTTTCCCAGGATATCACCCACACTTCACACCTAGCAGGAATGAGGACCGAGACACCAGAGAAAAGCTGACCCTGGAGCCCACAGGCTGCTCTTCATCTCTGCCACAGCGCAGTAACATGGGACAAAAGTGCTCTCAGAGGGGCACGTGGGTCACACTGATGCCAAAACCTGTGTCTGACCCATTTCTTGTCATTCCCTATGTGCTGCAGGGAAAACCTGCTGGAGCATTCCACACCACTGATGCTCCCCGTGCCAGGAACGGGAGCAGTGGAGAGAACAGTGCAGGAAACAAACACCCTGCCACGCACTCCCACAGAGATGGTTATCTTCTGACCAGCTTCCAGGGCTTGGCTGTTACCAGCAAATGCCTAACAAGGAGAGATGGATCACCCACTCCCCATGGATGTTAGTCAGCCCAGTGGCACGGATTCCGTCACACCAGGACGCTGCTCAGCTCTGCTTCTGTATGTGGCTGTTGCTGAGCTCACAAAAAAGGGGCTCAGAGTCTCTGAACTCACAGAAAAAACACAACCTTGATCATGGGGATCCAACTACAACCCTGGGCAAGGCCCATGGCCAGGCTGGACAGGGCTTGGAGCAGCTTCGTGGAAGGTGTCCCTGCCCACGGCAGGGGGGGTGGAATGAGATGAGCTTTGAGGTCCTTCCAACCCAAGCCAGTCTGGGATTCTGCGATCCTGGAGCAGGAGGTTTTGTGCTGATTCACACACGACTCCCACCACGGGTCCCACAGTTTATTCCCTCTCTCTCTCTCTCAGAGTTCCCCCTCTGCAGTCACGACTCCTCCCTGCTCAGCCACCGAACGCTACTCTGCCCACGGTGTGGCTGGCAGAGGTTTGATCCGGAGAACCACAATGAAAGATGATGTTTCCCTCATAACTGCTGGCCCTTGGCTGTCCCCTGCACACACAGCAACGCCGTGGGACGGCTCTGGCCGTGGCAGTGGGGACCTGTCACCTGGGACCTCGTTTGATCCCTGTGTCCAAAATGAGCAGTTGGTGAAATTGTTCTCTCCGCGCCCAGCGCACGCGTCTCCTCCTCCCTCGCTCCACCACGGCCGAGCCTCCAGCCTGTACTTTGTAATTAGTGGTTGAAATGAAAATGGGGTGAGGGGGGGGGAAGAGGAGTCTAAAATAAAATCTGGACTATTCTTGTTGTTTTATCAAAAGAACCTCCTGCATCCCCTATGATTTCTGAACTACCCATTTTGTTGTTTTTTTTTTTTTTTTTTAAAAAAAGACAACTACCCTGCAATTTCTGTAGGGCAGCGAGGCAGCCTGTTTTACCCAGAGTGGTTCTCAGCATGACCAATGGACAGGGAAAAGATGTTGGGATCCTTGAATATTTGGGATTAACCATTAAGAGGATGGGGCACAGCACTGCCACATCATCCAAAGGCACCTGCTCCTGGAGGGGGTGCCCCCCAAAACCTGCCTGTGCCAGCGTTGGACTGCACACACCAACCCCAACCACGCGAGCCAAGAGATCCCCAGATCTCCTGAGGGAAGATTTTAGGGGGCAGAAGGATGGGGGGGACCCGCAGGAACCAGGGGCACGGGAGGAGTGAGGGCTCAGAGGAGTATTGGGGGACACTGGGGGTGACAGGGTGGAGTGTACAGGGAAGGTGCTGCGTGACACAGGGGGAGGAGGGATAGGGGGGATGAAGGAAAACGGGGGGAACATCGAGGAACGGGGAAGGGAGGGGAACGGTGAAGAACGGGAGAAAAAACGGGGAGGAAAAGGAGGAAATGGGGCGAAACGGAAGAAAGGGAGGGGGAAAAA